AAGCTGTCCATGGACACCTTAGATTCTATTACTACTTATTTGGTTTGGCCCTGATTATTTTTTGCTATGCTTCTGGTCAGAGCTTTGAATGGAGTTCATTATTATGTCTCTCTGAGGTGGTCTGTAAACAAGGATACTTAACATTTTTGGCATTATCTAGACTTTTCCATTATATTCCCATTTGGTAGTGTGGAGAGAACAAAAAAATACTAGCTACTTCCTTGACTTTTGTCATAGGGCTTTCTGATGAAAAAGAAATATGGGTGATTGTCTGTCTAGGAAAATGACCTTTGTTGTACCAAAAAGAAATTAAGACTTGGTTTCTAGCTTAAGTTAGCAAACTGATTGACAATAACAAAATTATTGAATTAGAAGAGATTTGCAAAAAATGTTTACCTGGATTTTTAAATCGAGATTTTATTTTTTAGTACAACAGACTTACAGAAACATTGGGTAGTACACAGAGTTTCCACATTAACTCCCCCTCCCCCCCGTTTTCCCTGTTATCTGAATAAGTGTGGCATTCATGTCACATGTGTCATATATACACATGAATACATGTATATGTACTCAGCATTGAGTATAATCAGCGTGCCAGTACTGATATGTTACTATTAACTAAAGTCCACACTTTTGTCAGATTTCCTTAGTTTTTCCCTCATGTCTGTTTTGTGTTCCAGAATCTTATCCTCAATAGCATGTTAAATGTAGTTGCCATGTGTCATCAGGCTCCTATTGGTTGTGGCAGTTTCTCAGACTTTCGTCGCTTTTGATGACCTGACAGTTTTGAGGAATACTGGTCAAGTGTTTTGTAGGATGCCCCTCTTTGAGAATTTGTCTGATGTCTGGTTTCCTTTGAAGTACCAATTATCATGTCCAGTCTATTTGATCATGCTTTGGTGCCTAGAGGTATTTGCATCAGGAAATTGTTGTGCTTAATATTTTGTCGAGGACACAGGGTGGCAGCTATACTTTTCTGGAGGATGGAGAAGAGACTATGTAGTGACTCCGGGCTATTACTGGAATAGTTGTGGTATACTCCTTATTTCACCTACTTTTCGTATTGCTTCAATAGCATTTCCAGGATTATCCTTGGGACGAATAGACATAGCATACAGACTTCGGGAGCAGAAGCAGCAGCTTGATGTTATGATCCAAGAGAATAGAAAGGGAGTTTGGTGTCTCATTCCCAGTGGTCTCACCAAAGGCACTCCCTGCTGGTGCCCAGAGAAGCCCCTTTTGGGTTCTGGTCTTTTTATTTCTATCTGGTGCTGATCATTTAGTTAGCTTTGGAAGTATTGGTAGTTGTGTCTGAGGAGCTATTCTGAGGCTCAGGAGATTGTTTGTAAGCTCTTTCTGTCCATTTTATATGTACTGCAGGGTTTTAAGAAGCTGAACAACAGCAGCCCTTTGCCACCCAGTGAGCCCTGTAGATGGGCTCTGCAGATGGAGAATGTGGCAGGAGGCCAGAGATGGGGATGGATGTCCTTTGCCCCTGACAGCTCTCTGCACTTCTCTTGACTTGTGGCGGCCCTTAGCCTACACTCATCATCATTAAACCACTCATTTTTCCTTTTACAATTGGCTTCAAGTGATGGAGAAGGAATTGGATTTGTGGCATGTATTTTGAGTCCAGCTAGTGACTCTTTTCATTGTAGATTTCTGCTCCTGTGCCTTAGGTTATCTCCTGGAGTGTGTGGTATAGTGGGTGTGTGGGGGGTGGATTGAATAGGAATCTGTAGCTTGTGGAGAAAGTGAGCGATGCGGGCATACTTAGAATTATCCTGATGAAAAGCACCATAAGAAATATCACTGTTATAAATATGGTCTATAACGGTGCTGATGAGCAGGCTTTGGATCGTAATCCACTCTGCATTTTACTTATTGCACAGTACGTGACTAGAACCACTATTTTATCGCCTCTTCCACGTCTCAGCTCCGGAGCTGCTTGTTCTCCGGACAGTAATGACATAATTTACAAAGGAATAAAAAGTCATAAATCCCCCTTAAGTACACATACGCGGACACACACACACACATGCACTCACCATACACCCCTTCACCAGAAAGGTAAACCTCGTTAGCTGGCAGCCTCAGAGTGTGCAGTTCTTGAAGAGGAGGTTTCTAATCAGGGAGATGCCGAGCAGAGTGTGCTGCTGAGGCCCGAAATTTACAGCTCCAAGAATCCATTCGCTGCTGCTGCTGCTGCTAACGCATTATAGGGAATGACGAATACCAGTAACTTGTCACAGGGGTATGCTTAGATCTTCACATTTTATGATCAAGGGGTGAAGGTGTGAGCACTGTGATACTTTCCTTGGTTTTATTTCTCTTTGAGCATGACTAGGGAGTGGAGAATGCCTAGATATTTCTCATGTCTCGATTATAGGAATCTCTCTTTTTAGCAATTGACAATTTAATGAGTTAAGTTTTGGTATGAGAGGAATGTGTGGCTCTGTCCATCATTGAGATTTAGGAACTACTGTGATGCGCGTGCATTTGAGATTCCTGGCAATACCCCAGTATCATTTGGGCAGTGGTCCTGTACTTTTGAGGGAGGAGTAGTATTGCCTTGCTTTACTAGCTATTTTGCTGGTATGGCTTTGTGGAACTTTCGAATAGCATGTATCATGGATACCTCACCCTCGGAATGTTTTGTCTTCCATTTTATAATTCTTTTCTTTTCTCCCAAATGTGGGATTTTAAAGGATAGAGAGATCATCATTTATCTTTTTGGTCAGTTGTCCAAGCCACTACTGGTGTCTTAATGGAATGAGAGGGAGATTCTATTACGATGGATGTTTTTACTTGGCATTAATGTCTAGATGGTGATGGGAATAAGATGCACACTTTTTCATTCAGTTATTGAATCTGTATTTTTGGTTATATCTCCTGGACTGTTTTTAAGTTCTATACTCGGGGACATGTTTTTGTGGTTGGGCTGGTGTAAGGGGCACTTTGATTTGGAGGGTCCTCTGCCTTTTGGTACCACCCACATACCATGGTAACCAGCCTTGAACTTGACTTGGTCCTGGTGTAACTACAGACCATGCTCTTGATTACCTTTGGACTTCGCCAGGTTTTTCTGGCCAGGTGAGTTTTGGGTTCTGGCTGTTTGGATTTTAGTGTTTAGCCTTTGCAAATCTCAGATCAGTCGAAAAGGTTATAGCAGAATGGCTGTGGTTCTTGGAGACTGGCTTTTTGCTGATTTCAGGGTTGCAACTTAATCTTATGTAGAGTGGAAAATTAGAAACTGACGGGAGGAGGACGAAGACGGTAAAGGGGGCCAAATATACGGTAATGGAAGGAAACCAGACTTCGGGTGGTGAGCACACATTGAGTATATACGGATGTCTTACTATAATGTTGTACACCTGAAATTTATGTAATGTTATTAACCAGTGTTAACCCATTAAATTTAATTTAAAATCCCCTCCACCCCTGCAGTCTGCTCAGTAGTTTCTCAGACTTTCATTATTTTCGGTCACTAGCCTGGTTTTCGGTACCCGGCTTCCGTTACTTATGCTGGTAAAACCCAGGGATGTCTCCCACCCACCAGCTGTAGTCGGCCTTCCATGGACTTACAGCTTGATTCCACTATTATCTTTTTTTCATCCATTCTGTTTGATGGCACTTTCCTCCTGTTATTTCCTGTTATGTATAATTTCTTACTTATTTTTGCTTTTTGCCGGTTCTTCAGCTCGTCCCTTAAATCACTCTTTTTGGGATGTGGTTGGCTGGTTCTTTTAGAGGATTGCCATTTTCAGAGGAGTCTGCAGGTAAATAGGTATATTTCTTCTCAAAGATCTCAAGCCTTCCAGGGAATAGTTAGCGAGGGCTCTTTTAGCCATAGCAAAGGAGAGTCTAACTCCTTTTGTGTCATGTGTAAAAGAGGGAGATTTTGGGAGTCTGCCTTCACTGGCAGCAGACCCTGTAGTTTGTTTGACTGCCTGTTGGCTTCTGATAGAGCCTGATTGAAGCCTAGAAGAATTGGTTTTGATTCTGCAGATGAAGTGGATGGTGACACTATTTTGTAATCAGTTTTAGCCTTACAGCAGTGTTGCTTGCAAAAATAAAAATAAAAACAAAAACCCCCAAAACCAGCCTTGTAACACCAGGTTCTGAATATAATTTGGTGAACTGTAGACTGCTGGCCCAATTATGGGTTCTAGTTATGACCCTGATGTGGTCCATCCTGGTTTCGATGGAATTTTTTTTCTGTGCACCTCAGTGGAGTGTTCTGAAAACCTCTACAGAGGAGTATTTGTGCTTTTGCTTTTTGAGTAGATATCCTTGTAAGTTATCCCAGACTGGGAGTTTTATCCCAGACTGGAAGTGAATCATTTTCAGCTGAGAGTGCGGTCCAGTGGCACTGATTTGGAGTTCTGAAACAAAGATGTCCATAGTAGTGCTTTGGAAAGGCAGCTTTCAGAGTAGTTGAAATAATGTTTTAGCAATTTAATGTTTCTGCCTGTGAGATTAACATCTCCTTTCCCACGCTGAGTTGACAATTCTTTTTGCCCTTCACTTGCCTTTGATTTTCTGCTCTCTATTGGGTATCCTATTTTGGTTCTTTCTCATCTCGTGCTGGTATCTTCTAATCCAGCCCTTGCCTCTTTTCCTAGATTCACATTGAGATAGGGATTTTGATTTCAGTATAGAGCCTGTTTCCAGGAAAATTTTCTCTAACAGGTAGAGACTGGATTTCCAGTTCGTAAGTTTTGTAGTTAACTACATGTCTTGGTCAGGCCAAAAGATAAAAAAGATTGACCATCTTTATGAATGATAGACTCTGTTCATTGAAAAATCATAATCAGGTCTTCGGGGACTGGCTTTCTTCAACATTATCACTCCATGAAGGATGATATTGGGTCTACCCCAAGTGGCTATTGATCTTACTTTTCTCCCTGTAACTAGAGTGGGCCTTGTTCTTTAGCATGTGTGCTACAATATTTGGGCCATCGAAGCAGGTCTAATCATTTTTGCCTTCTTGTCAACAGGTGATGCAGGTGCTGAATGCTGATGCCATTGTCGTGAAGCTGAACTCTGGCGACTACAAGACCATCCACCTGTCCAGCATCCGACCGCCAAGGCTGGAGGGAGAAAACACACAGGTGAGATTAGGGAAGCAACAGAGAATTAGTTAAATATGGTACAGATTTAACTAAGGACAAAGCATTTTAAATCTCCAAAGTATCATTTCCTAATATTTGCAGCCTAGCAGCTGTTACTGGGCAGGCCTCGGTTTCTCCTGAATCGCACCCACTGCTCTACTGCATTTGGATGGGCACTGCTGGCATTCCTCCCTTGGAAATTTAGAGGAATTAAGGTTGGGATATGCGAGGTGGTAGATGAATTTTATTTATTAAGGAGATCTTATTTCTCTGAAAATGAGAAAGTTGAAGGTCCATATCTCACATGCTGGTAGTAGGGCCCGTTTCTACTGGTCATTTTGATATGCTAGTTCCATATGTTTTTACTCTAGGAAGAAATGAATCTTGATATATATATTCTCTGGGGTCACCTACTCATCACTTGTAGTTATTAGTTATACCGTATTTTGCTGTTTGTTGGGTCTTCTGGCAGCATAAGTGCTTCTCTAACCAATGTGTATGATTTGAATATGTAAATTTTGAGAAATTATACGTAGGGTTAAAAAACTACAAGAGTTGGTAGTCTGCAGGCAGTTTTGTTTTAAATTTTATGATCGTTTCATTTCCATTGTTATGAGAGGTTGGTAATAGAGATTGAGGCCGAACTTTTTGTTTGGTTTTATCTTGTTGTTACAGACATCTTTCCAACTCCTGTTTTTGCCCTCTGATAAAGTGTGTAACTGTGGCGACTCGTCACAAAACTGGGTCCTCCGTGAGATCCAGTAACACAGGAAAGTATTAGGATGGTTTTCAGAAATTAAACAGCTAGGTTGAAGTTAATGCTATCTTCTTTTAAAATTTATTTCTTTTGTAGTTCTCAAGAGGTGAAATTTGCTTTTCTTATGTTTTGCACGTACACATGTCTTGTTGCATTCACAAGTTGAAATTCATGCCCTGTTTTCATTTGCATGAGAGTTTACAGACAGCCCATAAGAGTAAAATAAAAATAATCATGATTGTCTTTTGAATCAGATCGTGCATAAGAAACACATACAGGATGGGTTCTTTGAATATTGGGCCAATCAGTTCATTCTCTCTCTCTTTCCCCCATAGAGGAAGCAATTTAATGCAGCAAACAGTATTGTGGTAAGGTTGAGAATTTAAATGCATGAAAGCCTAGAGATGCCAAAATAAGGTTCTCCGAGTAACTGTAGCTCTGCCTCATTGCACAGAGTAAATATACATCTCCAATTTTATCAGTATTGGGAGTAGTCCACAATTCTGCATGTGTCATGCAGTTGGAATTAAGATTCCCACAGCAACCACAACTTTGAATTTCTCGATCGTTAATTTCTGTGCCTCCATCATCAGCCAAAAGCATTATGTTAATGTAGACTCTATAGCCGAATTTTAAGCAGTTTTTAGGGGGGTTGGGAGTGTTAATGGCTTAGGTAAAATGATAGCAGGTTTATTGGCGGTAAGAACTAAACTATTACTGAGGATTTTGTTTGCTTCCAGGATTTTTTAGGAACTCCTCATGGGGTAATGGATGGATTTCCTTTAGCCTAGTGGATAGATGGGAAGTTGTTGGAATATATGTCCTTGTTTAGGCAGGATACTGTTTATAGAATTCCTTGTTCTTTACTCCATGGTAGGTTATCTTCCTCTGTTGTTTAAATTTCTGTTCATTCCTGAGATCTTACTCCATTTTAAGAAAGTTCTAAGTAAGGCTTAGCTCTAAGTCTTCACCATATGGCTTTTGAGTGAAACGAGAAACATTTTCTCTTATTCATTAAACTCTTGGAAGATTTGTTATGTGAGGGGGTCACATAACAAGTAAGTTCAATAAGTTAATGTAATACATCTTGAGCACATGTATATTTTACACTTGGAACACATCTTAATTTGTTCTAGCATATTTCTAGGGTTCAGTAGCAGCATATGGGTTCTGGCTACTGTAGTGGACAGCACAGGTTTAGAAATTCAAATGAATGGGTTTGTCATCATTGATAAATATTTACTGGGGGCCACTTTGCACCAGGCACTATGCTGGGCATGCAGCCAGGGAATAAACCAAACTCGCATGGAACGCTAAAGTCTACTAGGGAAAGTACACGAGTCATTTAATGTATGTTATGAAAGAAGAGTTTAGAACTTATGAGAATGCATAATCTAGAAGGGCTCCTTTGAGGAAGTGACATTTAAGGTCTGCCTGAAGGGTGATTTGAAGTTAGCTAGGTAAAAAGTGGGAGAAGATAGTATCTGACTGAGATGGCAGCAATGACAAGAATTGGGCGAGTTTGGGGATAGGGAATATCCGGATGGCCGCTGTGGATGGTGCATGAATGGGATGATGCCTGTGTGATACAAAATATAGGTAGGGCCAGGTTCTGCTTGTCCTGTGAACATCTCGGGATGCTCGTGAAGAGACAATATGGGGCGTACGATAAACTGCAAATAATTTAGTATGATTGGAATAGAGAGGATAGTTAACACTAGGGAGTAGTAAGAAATGGGCGTGGGAGTTAGGCACGGGCCACGTGTTGAAAATGTGTGCCGTGCTTTTAGATTTTATCTTGAAGAATTTTAAACCAGGGAGTGGTACATTTGGATTTGAGTACTCTTGTGTTGGTGGCTTGCATTTACAAACCATGGAAGTAATTTGCATTTATAAGAGAAGATAACACTAGAGGAAAACTGATTTGCGGCAAGGAGTTCTGGCGTTTCTTTTGGGAAGCCTCGTAAGCCTCAAGTGACCAAAGACCCAGGGGTGAATGGTGCGATAAATGAGAACTTGCCGGTGGAGCTCTAGCAGTCTCTTTTTATACTGAAGAATTCGGAGTTCCTTCCTTTCTACTTAAAGAATTTCATAGAACTCTTACAATGGGTGGAAGATTCTGCTCTATGCTTATCTGAAAGTTACTAGAGATTTATACTACAGATGTAGGACCAAAAATCACCTGGGGATCCCAGTGAGGCTGTACTGTGTATATAACGACTGGGCAAGCAGGCATCCATCTCCTTGGAGTTCTTGGTTTCTAGTGTTCTTTACTGTATACCAACTGTTTGTATACAAGGGGAATCCAGGCAGGTACTCAAGGCGTAGAAGTCGGGACCAGGAGCTTTGTTAGCTCATATGGCACCCAAATTAGAGAAGGTTGCCCCTTCCTCTAGGCAGCCTTGTGTCGGGGCACATGGCTTGGCAAATAGAATTTCAGCTCCAATTCAGTCTCTGTCTCCTCGGCAAGGTGCCCTTATGCAGAGCACAAAGTGCACAAAAATATGTGGCTCTCCTAGTTAGAATAGGGCTGTTAGACTTTCCAGTGAAAACGTTGAGGGCGTGTTTAGGAATTGGGGGATGGTCTTGTAGTTGCAGAAACATGGAGTGCTAAGGATTATTCAGAGAGCATGATGGACTGTGGAGGGCTGTGAACATTCAGGAGACTGCCCTCTGTCTAAGTTTTGGATACTTCCTGGGGGGTCATTGGCTTTGAAATGGAGAAAAAGATAACTCGACAGCTTATGGTATTGGGGCTCATTCTAAACAAAAGAACAGAGTGGGAGAAGGTACAGTAAGGAACTGGAGGAGTAGGTTAAGAGGGTAAGTCTTTGCTGGAGCTTCTTCAAAGGCAGACAGATGGCGTCCAGTGACTCCTGCTGTGGGCTAGGCCCCCTTGTATGCTCCTAAATGATGAGCCAATGGTGCTTGCCCTTCAAGTAAGGAAGGGGAGATTCTTTGAATATTTATCTTCTCCAAACCCTAAAAACTCTAATGACCTGTCATCAACTAATACAGATCTTCCGAGACATCTATATGTTGTGGGGATAATAGGGCAAATTAAATTTTCCCTTTTTGTACACAGAGACAAACTCATTTCTCTTAAATTATACGTGAGGCAGGAAGGTTTTGCCAAAGGCTGACTGTGTGCTTCCACTCCCCACTTTTGGTTACTTTCTAATTGCAGCCAGAGGAAGGGCTCTGGACTAAACAGCGCTATCAGAGACACTGTTTTCACCTTAGGCAGCTGCTGTCCAGTAGTACCCTGGCACTCTGGCTCCTCGGATTTGGTTAGATTTTGATTTGTTGCCTAAACATATGACAGTTAAAAGCAAGTGTGCATAGTAGTTCCCACAGAAAGATGACAATTGGATGTCTGATGCTGCTGATTCTATTTCTGTGGCCTGTCCTTCCAGATTATTCAGTGCTAATTCTGTGCCTGCTCCTTGGAGATGTTAACTCCTTCAGGTCGAGAGCCGTTTTGGACGCTGTCGTGTGTGCGTCTGTGGTGCAGGCTCCCTCAGTACCCACAGTGGATCAGGGCCTCTTACAGATCCCAGAATCCAGGGATGCTGAAGTCCCTTATATAAAATGGTGTAGTATTTGCATATAACCTAAGCACATGCTCCTGTGTACTTTAAATTACCTCTAGATTACTTATAATACCAATACAATGTAAATGCCATGTAAATAGTTATTATACTGTATTGATTAGGGAATAACATAAAAAGCCTGTACATGTTCAGTACAGGTGCAACCATCATAGGCCTAACTACACAGTGTACGTCAGCAAAAACATAACATTTTTCTTTTCCTGAATATTTTGATCTGTGGTTGGTTGAATCCACAGATGTGGAACCCACATCTTGGATGCGGAGGACCAACTGTGTAGTTGGTTTTTATCCAGTTGTTTGCCACAAAGAAACAAATGTTAAGTCTTGGAGGAAAACTCCGGGTTTTCTGAGCTACTGCCTTAAAGGAGATAAGCCCATCTCAGGGCTTCTTAGAGAGCAAGTGGCTTTGATGTGAAACTGGAAAACCTAGTGCTCTGTTGCCCAGGGCCGCCGTTGGCTTTGTGTTACACTTGCAGTGTTAATGACAAAGGAAATACATCCCCTGGGCATCCGGTGAAGGTGCTGACATATTCCCCGTGAAGTCCACTCATGCAGTGCTATTACAGTGGGCGAAGAAATACAGAGCTGAAATTCACCTCGAAAACAGGCACGTAATTTACCCAACCCCC